TAACAATAATTAGATTTAAATTTAAACGAACGACAACGCATAGGGACGTAAATAAAGTTTAACTTTGTTGCTGCTACATTTTTAGTGACAATAGAAGAAAAGAGAATACAAGAGTTTCAAAGCGAAATTTATTCTGGTACCACCGATATTGTTCGAAACGTAAAAAATCTTACCCCGCATAGCGCTAAAACCTTACTCTCCCATAGAAACCACAGAACCCAAAAAGATGTAAGAAGGCCCTTGTGGGCAGGGCAGGCGCACCACAGGAACGTGTGAGCTGGAGTTGCAAAACTATCGATATTAAAATTATCGACAGTTTACTTCGAAAATCATGTACCCTATCGATAGGCCTATCGATAGAATCGATACAACCAATAGTATCGATGCTATCGATAGCTCAGAACAAGGCAATACTATCGAATGAGTGCAATACTATAGATACTTTCGATACTATTGTAGTTCGTTAATAACAACCTATTGATAGTATCGATACTACCGATAGTGTTGATTTTATCTGCAATAATACTATCGATAGTATCGATACTAGTGATTGTTTTAGACCAGCTATACTCTAAGTGTGTTCCGCGGAACCCTAGGGTTCCGTGATACCTCTGTCGGGGTTCCGCAAGAATTTAGAAATAAAAAAATCAAAACACCTCTCTCTGGTCGCTCCGCGGCTGTGCGGACTCCGCGGCCGCGCGGAGACAAAACGCTATGAATGTTATTTATTTATTTATTTGTATTTGTATAAGCTTGTGTTACATTAGCTGGTACAATATCTCATAAGTTTGGTCTCAACAATTTTATACTTGTACAACGCGTTCGCTCTAAGTTTGCCGGTCTGTGGAATGCGCGTACCCTCCCCCACGTGACAACAAAACTTATAATGTGTCATAGTTTTACCCAAATATCTAACGTACACAATTTTTATTGTTACAATTAAATAAAAAATTTCGAACGTCATACACTCATACCTATCGCCAGCGGCAAACTTAAAACGAGCGGGTAGTATACTTGTAAGCGCTCAGTCTCTTTGATAAAAGCCGCCTCTGAATTAGACGCTATAGTTGTCAACTAGCGACTTTCGTCTCTAACTTCAAAGGATAAAGTCGATATTGTTTACAACGCTATTTTTAAATTTCTGTTTTTATTTTTGCTTTTTGTTTATCAAAGGTGCCGACTCGAGTATTTTCGAGAATATTTGAGATCGAGTCTAGGACTAAGTATAAAAGCGGCGATCGCGCGTTGGCGTCGTCAGTTGATGATTAGCGTTCGGAGCGATAAGTTACTACCTACTTACAAGCTCGCTAGCGAGAAACTGGTGTTCATTGTTTTACTGCCTGCTGTATTCTGTTGTCTCAGTTTTATACATTTCTTCCCTGTAGGTTCTAAATTTAGTCTCTTATACGCAGTAACGATTGTGCATTATTTAAACCCCACTATCCTGACTTGTAACATTATAAATAAAGAAGAATGGAACGTTGGCTTAAAGGTGTTAAACGTGTTCCAACAACATCTTCTAATGACGCTGAATGTTCAAAAGCAATGCGCGCGGAGAATTTAGCAATCACCGATCCAGAAGATGATGCCACGAGTGCCACGACGTCAAGCTCGACGGTTTCAAAGACGAAAAAAAGGAAGTATGATGAATCTTATATCAGTTTCGGATTTGTTGATTCCAACGGCTCACCTCTCTGCATGCTCTGTAGTAAACTGCTTCCTAATAGTTCCATGGCACCTGCCAAATTGCGTCGACATTTAGAAACCGTACACCCCGAGACTAAAGACAAGAATAAAGAATTTTTTGTTCGCAAAAAAGATCAGTTATTAGAAAGTCAAAAAAATATGATGCATGTAACACAAACTACCAACGAAAAGGCCACGGAGGCATCATACTTAGTTAGCTATCGCATTGCACAAGCAGGTGAAGCGCACACTATCGCTGAGAAATTAATAAAACCATGTGTATTAGACATAACAAAATGTATGCTTGATGAAAAATCTGCAAAGCATCTTTCTACTGTTCCGCTATCAAACGATACTGTTTCACGACGAATCCATGATCTGGCAAGCTACGTCAAACAAGAACTAGTTACACGTCTACAAAATACACGATTCGCTTTGCAAATGGACGAGTCGACTGATGTCGCTGGTTTGGCTATCCTGCTGGTTATTGTGAGATATCCATATAAAAGTTCTTTTGAAGAAGACATGCTTATGTGTTCATCGCTGCTTACAAACACTACCGGGGAAGAAATTTTTAATAAAATAAATATATTTTTTGAAGAACATAATCTCAGTTGGAACAATTGCATTGACATTTGTACAGATGGGGCCAAGGCGATGACAGGTAAAACAGCAGGAGCAGTGTCACGAATGAAAAATAAAGCGCCTAATTGTAGTTCCAGTCATTGTATTCTGCATAGACAAGCACTTGCGATGAAGCAAATGCCGTCTAATCTAAAATTAGTTATGGATGAAGCGGTAAAAATAATTAATTTTATCAAATCACGACCACTACAATCCCGATTGTTCTCATTATTGTGTGAAGATTATGGCAGCAAACATAAAACACTGCTGCTCCATACAGAAGTGCGATGGCTGTCTCGGGGAAAAACTTTAACAAGGCTATTTGAACTTAGAGCCGAGTTACAAATGTTTCTTTCAGCAGATACTTCTTTTAATTTGAAGGACCGTTTGTATGATAAAACTTGGTTGTTCCGATTGTCTTTTATGGCGGATATCTTTCAAAAACTTAACGAATTAAATTTATCATTGCAAGGTAAACAGACAACAGTGTTTCAGGCCTATAATAAAATAACTACTTTTAAAAGAAAATTAGATTTTTGGATCATTTGCATTGGTAAGAAAGAAATAGAAAGTTTTACGTTACTCACTGAGTTTGTTAGCGAAAACGACTCAGAAATGTTTGAAGATAATGTGTTTGAAGAATTGGTCCAATATCTCAGTTCGATGCGCGCATCTTTTGAAAAGTATTTTCCCGAAGAACACAATACAAAAATTAAAGTGAACTCCTGGATTCATAATCCTTTTTTACCCAACTTGGAAAAGCCTGAAAACATGTCAAATGAGATATATGAATCTCTTTTAGAAATGTCATCAGACACAAGTATGGAGTCATTGTTCAAAACGACGCCTCTTAATGATTTTTGGTGCAGAATCCAAGATGAATATGCAATGCTTGGCCAAATGGCTCTGGATATTCTTCTCCCGTTCCCAACTACATATTTGTGCGAAACAGGATTCTCTACCTACGCAGCCACGAAAACAAAATATCGCAATAGACTGGACGCCGAAGCTGATATGAGACTCCAACTTTCTTCCATCAAACCTGATATCAAGCAATTGATGAAAAATAAAAAACAGTTTCATACCTCCCACTAGTTAGATTTTTTCTTTTTTAATGTTTTCTATTATTGTCCTTACCAAGTGGTGAAGTAAATAATAATTAGTAACGGATACATTGTACTTTTATTATGCTGATTAATATAGAATACACTTATAAAAATAATTGTTTTATTGTAGGGTTCCATCAAGTATTTTGCTTCCCAAAAGGGTTCCGTCATTTAAAAAGTTTGAGAACCACTGTTTTAGACTAAAGTTTGTGATTGACTATAATACTTGAAAATTGTAAACAATACTATTGCAAATTGTTAAACTATCGATAGTATGGTTGCAAATAAAATCGACAGTATCGATACTATAATATGATAAGCCGATCGATTGTCATACGATTGGTTGGCTATCGATAGACTATCGATTAATCATCGATAGTCGACTATCTATCGGCAACACAAAGCTATGTTATTTAGCAAAAAATAATCCTTATGATTTATCCTTTCGATGGTTATCATAAAATATGTTGTGTTTTTTTTAGAAATCTCACGAGTTTGATTCCCAGTTATAACAGGCAATTTTAAAAAAAATCTGTGAATGCAGTTCCAGTAATTGTTAAAAATAAAATGATGTCTTCTTTCATAAAAATATGCTATCTTCAATATTTAATATACTTTCCCTCCGTGTGAGGTAGCCGTGGGACGCCCTGTATAAAATTCTCGTGTCGCGGTGTTTGTGGTTAAACTCCTCCGAAACGGCTTTCCCGATTCTCATGAAATTTTGTGTGCATATTGGGTAGGTCTGAGAATCGGACAACATCTATTTTTCATCCCCCTAAATGTTAAGGGTAATCCACCCCAAAATTTTTTTTTCAATTTTTGATATATTTTTTTAATTTTTTTTTTATGTTACAGCATTAGGAAATACATATAACCCTAAATTTTCACCCTTCTACCACCAACCCCTATTTTTTTATGGCGGTACGAAGTTCGCTGGGTCAGCTAGTCTTTATATATATAATTCTTCTGTGAGTGTGTATGTCACTGAACTTCTCTTAAACGACTGGACCGATTTTGATGAAATTTTTTGTGTGTGTTCAAGGGGATCTGAGAATGGTATAGATTCACAATTTTGTCCGCTGGACAACCCCTATTTTTTTAGGGCGGTACGAAGTTCGTTGGGTCAGCTAGTAATATATAAAATTCTCGTGTCACAATGTTAGTTACCATACTCTTCCGAAACGGTCTGACCGATTTTTATGAAATTTTATAAGCATATTCCGTGGGTCTGAGAATCGGCTACTATCTATTTTTCATATCCTTAAACGATAATGGTTGTCCACCTGTAACGTAGTGTTCGCCTTCGCGGCAAAATTCAAACTTCTCATATGGGTTAGGAGGTTGTTACCCCAGGAAATTGATAGAACACTACGTTATACACCCCTAAAATTTTCTTTGGTCATTTTTTTTATTTAATAATGTGGTATTAAAAATACATACAACCCTAAATCTCTTCTACCACCTGCCCCTATTTTTATGGCGGTACGAAGTTCGCTGGGTCAGCTAGAATTACATAATAATTACCTTTCTTAAGAGTAGCCAAGCAAAGTATTTCTAAAGTGAAATTCTTTATACTTTTTCTAGAAACAACAATGGGTACGAAATTGGGCATACAAAAGCAGGACAACCACCCCTTCTTGGCGAACTTTGAAAGGTTCACCGAATTGGTGACAGCGCGCACCCTGATGCCTTGGCTCCACACAGACTTCGTATACAAGTTCACACCTTACTATAAAAAAAACACCGAAATTGTTAACTACATGACCAGTTTTGTCACTAAGGTACGTACGCACACAGCACGGATATGTCAACGGAAAAAGATTATTTTCTCTTAATAATATCATCATCATCACCCTATTAATGCCCCCACTGCTGGGGTACAGGCCTTCCCTATGAATGGATTAGGGAGATTGGGCCATGACCCACCACGCGGGCCCAGTGCGGATTGGTGGATGCTAACGACTGCAGATGCAGCCGGGACCAACGGCTTAAAGTGCCTTCCGAAGCACGGAGGAGCTCGAGATAGTAAATTTTTGGTCACCCATCCAATGACCAACCACTGCGACAGTTGCTTAACTTCAACGATTACAGCCGAACGCGCTCACCACCTGCGCCATCAAGCTCCTCCAATCCTCCTAGGAATTCAATAGAAAGTGTAAATATTATTTTTTTTCAAATAAATAGAATAAGAATATCAATAATATTGATTTATTAATTCGTTTCAGATCATAAAAGAAAAACGTAAGGATATAGAAGATGGCAGCAACAAGAAAAATGCAATCGATGAACAAAATAATGGTAAGTTTCATTATATTTTAACACGAATACACTTGCTTTCCTACCTTTAATTCTGTAAAAATGGGTTTGAAGTGAGACTTGGGGGGTAAAGCTGGCGAATGCGTTACGCGTTACGAAAAGTGTGTCCGGGCGAGGCGAACGGGAGTTGAGAGAGAGAGAGAGAGGGAACCATTTTAGTAGGAGTAAGGGATATAAGCAAGAGAAAGTAGTGCGCGCGAACTATTTCTTTAGGATTTTTGAAGTGAAAATTCTTTTCGGACGGGGTGTAAAGGGAAAAATCCTTTGGAAAAATGAAACGAAAATTCGTCACGAGCGTCACACGGCCATATATACATATATAGGGTGAAATTGAATTTTTTAATGAAACTTCGTGGGATTGTTGGGTTACGTGTATACAGGGCGTCCCACGGCTACTTCACACGGAGGGAAAGTATATTAAATATTAAAGATACGACATTTTACTGAAAGAAGACATCATTTTATTTTTAATAATAACAAGAACTGCATTCACAGATTTTTTTAAAATCGCCTGCTACAACTGCGAATCAAACTCGTGAAATTTCGAAAAAAATAACACGGCATATTTTATGATAACCATCGACAGGGTTAATCATAAGGATTATTTTCTGCTAAATAACTTAGCATTTTAAATGAAAGGAATGTGAATTACGTGATAAAAAAAAAGTGATGTACAAATTGTAGTACGTATGCATTTCTTTTTGAACTCACAGTTACAATGCGACTGGCAGAAATTTGTAATAATAATAATTCCAAAATGGAACACATAAATTTTCAAGTGTCTGTTCTTTTGTTTTTTGTGAGTTACATTTTCATATAATTTCAATTTTTTGTTAATTTACTTACCATGGCTTAGCAAAAGTCTTTCTCTATCTCTATCTTTCTTTCATTATTTAAACACATATCGAGAAGGTTTGTCTCTATCAGGATATCTTTTGCGGTACCACCGCTAAGCTAATGATATGTCTTTGTGGTTCATAAAGTAAGCTTACAATAAATCCATTTTATTTTGATGCACCATGGTAAGTAAGTTAACAAAAAATGCAAATAAACGAAAATGAAACTCACGAAAAACAAAAGAACACAGGCTTGAAAATTTATGTGTTCCATTTTCGAATTATTATTACAAATTTCAGCCAATCGCATTGTAACTGAATTCAAAAAGAAATGCAGACGTACTACAACTTGTACATGACTTTATAATTTTTATCACGTTATAAGACATTCCTTTCATTTAAAATGCTATGTTATTTAGCAAAACATAATCCTTATGATTAACCCTTTCGATGGTTATCATAAAATATGTCGTGTTTTTTTTTTCGAAATTTCACGAGTTTGATTCCCAGTTGTAAGAAGCGATTTTAAAAAAAATCTGTGAATGCAGTTCTAGTTCTTATTAAAAATAAAATGATGTCTTCTTTCAGTAAAATATCCTATTTTCAATATTTAATATACTTTCCCTCCATGTGAGGTAGCCATGGGACGCCCTGTAGAGTATCTCTGATTTTTTTCGGATTTTTTAAAATGATTGATTCTTTTTTTTTTTGTTATACTTAAGCCCTTTCCTCCTTTTGGGTACTAAATAATTATTCTTTTTAAACACGCATACAGAATAAGTAAAAAACAACTAATAACCACTACTAAAATTGTTTAAACAAGATTTGCAAATAATGCCTCGATTGTATTGTGTGGAATCAAAGGAGCCAGCTGAGCTCTGTGTACCTACTCACTCAACGGCTGGCGGGCGCGGTTTTTATTAAAGCATTAAATTTCACCTTATTTATATATATATGTGTGTGTGTGTGTGTGTGTGTGTGTGTGAGTGTGTGTGTGTGTGTGTGTGTGTGTGAGTGTGTGTGTGTGATGCGTGCGCAGCTCTTCATGACGAGCATGAAAGTTGAAGGTAACTCGGCGAAGGCTGAAACGCTACGAGCGTCACACGTAGGGTGACTATTTAAAAATTTGAAAAGTCTGGACAAACAGCAAGACATTTCGATAAAAGTCCGGACATTTTAGTCCATAAATGCAAACATCACCCACTTATGATTTTGTGGGTAACCCACAATGTCAAATGAATACTTTTTCAAGTATTAAACATTTGAAAGAAGAAATAGCAATTATTTTATTTATTTTGACATTGTGGGTTACCTACAATGCGAACAGATGGCGCTGCCTTGTAGCTTAAGGCTAGGAATACTTCGACGCGGCTAATAGGGCCGTGGTAGCATAATGGTCAGTGCATTCGCCCGGATAGCGAAGGATGCGGGTTCGAGTCCCGTCCGCTGCCTGGTCCGCGTGGATTTTTTTGTAGTAAACTTTTCTTTAGATTTAAACATCTAGCAGTTAAATGATTAAAAAATAAATAAAATCATAACTGTAATTGCTATTTCTTCTTTCAAATGTTTAATACTTGAATAAGTATTCATTTGACATTGTGGGTTACCTACAATGCGAAGAGATGGCGCTGCCTTGCAGCTTAAGGCTAGGAAAATTTCGACGCGGCTAATAGGGCCGTGGTAGCATAATGGTCAGTGCATTCGCCCGGATTGCGAAGGGTGCGGGTTCGAGTCCCGTCTGCTGCCTGGTCCGCTTCGATTTTTTTCTAGTTAACTTTTCTTTACATTTAAACATCTAGCAGTTCAATGCTTAGAAATAAATAAAAACATAACTTATTTGATATAACTTAATAAGTAGTTTTACTCATATTCCATCTAATTAAAAAATCCGTACAAATTAAAAACCCGGACAAAATCCGGGCAAAATTCAAAAATACCGGACATATCCGGACAAATCCGGAAGGTTGGTAACCCTAGTCATATACATATATGCTCCATTCCCCTATGCCTTATGCACCGCTTATGTAAGGTTATTTAAGGAAAGAAGTTTCTCTTCAGATGTGTGGTCCGGGCACGCTATTTTTTTTAATAATGTTTTTTAAAGGTGTACCTGCATCATGGTTTCATACAACCACACATTTTTTCTGTTCTCTTTCAATCTGGGTTTCATCTTGTTCTGAAGTTTTTTGCACTTTTTAGCATATTCAAAGGCATCCGTCCTTATATTATAATCTTATGTAATTTTGAACTCATATTTAGAGATTATGGAAAGACGCTTTTTTGCTGTTCAATTCATGAAAGAAAACTTTTTCTTTTCTCAATCCCAGATACGGGCAGACCAGCCACGAAGACGTTCCTGGAACTGCTCATTGACTACTCCGGGGGAGACAAGGGCTATACAAACCTGGAGCTGCAGGAGGAGACAATGGTGATGCTCTTGGCCGGAACTGACACCTCAGCAGTAGGAGCCTCCTTCGTTATGGTCATGCTGTCCAAACACCAGGATGTGCAGGAGAAACTGTTTCAAGAGTAAGTACTATTAGTTTGTTCAGAGGATCTCGATGGCGCGAGGTTTTAGCGCGTTCGACTGGGATCGTTGCAGTTATGTTACTGTCGCAGTAGTCGGTCTGACTTATTATCTCGAGCTCATCTGTGCTTCGGAAGGCATAACATGCCTACCCGTTGGTCCTACCTGAATCTGCAATCGTTAGCACCGCCCAATCCGCACTGGGCCCGCGCTGTATGTCATGACCCAATCTCCGTATTCCAGCCCTAGAAAAGGCCTGTGCCCTAGTGGGGACATTTATAGGCGAGATCCTCTGTGCTTTGGAAGGCATAACATGCCTACCCGTTGGTCCCGGCTGAATCTGCAATCGTTAGCACCGCCCAATCCGCACTGGGCCCGCGCTGTATGTCATGACCCAATCTCCGTATTCCAGCCCTAGAAAAGGCCTGTGCCCTAGTGGGGACATTTATAGGCTGAAGATGATTATTAGTTCATCATCTCTGGTATATAAAAGGCAACCGTTACTGACTGACTGCTCTATCAAAGCACAGCTCAAACCACTGAACGGATTGCGCTAAAACTTGGCACACATATAGCTGTTACAATGTAGGCGTGCGCTAAAAAAGGATTTTCCAAAATCATATAAAGGATATAATTTTTATTTTATGGCGGCGACATCTATATGCCCCACATATAACCAACATAGAGGAATTAATATTAAAATGGCGCTACCGGCACTGTACTCAAATAGTTTGGAAGCCTACATCGCACAAGTGAAATTCGGCGGCTAACAGTTCATATATACAATGCCCGACCAACATCAGTCGGGCCGCGGCCCCCGAGCTACCATCATCCAGCTCGGAGAAAGATCTTCCCCTTTGGCCTTCCTACCATTTTGTAAGCATGTAACTGCTTGAGGTTTAAATCTAAAGAAAATATAACTAGAAAAAAAAAACCACGCGGACCAGGCAGTCATCATATAAAGGGGTTTAAAGTTTGTATGGATCAAATCTAATCAGCCTATGAATGTAACCACTGCTGGCTGAAGTACAGGCCTTCCTGATGAATGTAATAGGGAGATTGGGCCATGACCCACCACGCAGGCTCAGTGCGAATGGTAAGTGCTAACGATTGCAGATGCAGCCGGGACCAACGGCAACATTAACATTGATTGATAAACATGAATAAACAAGCCATTTGTTTCTACAAAATACACACGCATAATATCAATAATTCATTTGATATTATTTTCAGGTTATTGGAAGTCTTAGGTGATGAAGAGAGACCCGTCACAGCTGAAGACCTGCCTCGCTTCAAGTACCTGGACGCAGTGGTGAAGGAAACTCTGCGCTTGTACCCACCAGTGCCCATCACCGCAAGGACGACCGACAAAGACTACGTTTTACGTAAGCATCTACACTCGCAAGCAAAAGTCTGGAATCACTTCATTATCAGCTTATGAATGTCCCCACTGTTAGGGCACAGGCCTTCCCTTTCGATGGAATAGGGAGATTGGGCCATAACGCACCACTCGAGCTCAATGCGGATCAACATGCCTTCCGAAGCACGGAGTAGCTCGAGATAGTAAATTGGGCACGCATCCATGATCGACCACCGCAAAAGTTGCTTAACTCTAACGATCGCAGCCGAACGCGCTAACTACTTGCGCCATCAATCTCCAATGGTATATGAAATAACTTACTTGAAAGTGTTTTTTTTAAAGTGTGTATGCTGTTGGTCGCAGATGACCTTTACAGCGTCACCGGTTTTGGGGACGGCAAGATCCTAAGGGGACCTCAAGCCGAGAATTGGCGAGTGCCTCTAGCGGTATTCCAGGCGGATGGCATCTCCCCACGGGGGGAGTCTCCTCGCACCTGAGGAGGTCGGCTCAACTAGAGGGCGTTTCTGAGACTCGAACCTCGGCTCTGGTTAGCCGTTGTCGTGGGGGACGGGGAAAATCACCCAGGTACCTGGTATAGCGTATCATGTGTAGACCGGCTCTTCAAACTCTTATCCTACTGGTGCGGTGTCTGCCTAATGCCTTAGCAACGTGCACACTAACTTGTTAGTGTGCACGTTTGCTAGCTGTGCCTGTGTAGTGTTGGTGTTTATGACCTATGTGGGAGGAGTCGGAGGCACGTTGACGCGGGTAATTTCGTCGTCAATGTCGTCTAAGACGTGCCTAGGCCGACGGAATCGGAGGGACCTACGATTGGAGGACGTGAGGGTGGACGTATGATAACTAATCGCTTTACCTACTAAGAGGTGCGGATGATGCGCGGCTTTATCGAAGTAACGCCTCGAGGCGTCCTTCATATACTTCGCGATGGAGTCTAACTTGAGATCGCGATGCAAATCGATGTTGTGCACATACCACGGGCAACCCGTGGCACCGCGTAACACGCGATTTTGCAGCGTTTGTACTGGTTTAAGACGCGACGGAGGTACGTGGGCGAAGCAAACACTCGCGTAGGTCATGATAGGGATGCAAGTTTTGTAAATTGTCAACTTATGCCTATGTGACATCTTACTACGGTTCCCTATAAGGTGGAATAGCCTGCCGCGAATGATTTCTGCACGATCACGAACTATCTTGAGATGAGTTGCAAACGTCATTCGGTTATCTAACATGACTCCCAAGTACTTGATCCAGTCCTCCCAGGGGATGACCCGGTCAAATAGTTGGATGCTCGGAAGAGAACGCGTGGGAGGTGGTTTCGTGCTAAAGAGGATCGCGACGCTTTTTTCCGGATTAACCTCGATACGGCATCTACGGAACCAATCGCCAAGGGTGGTAGCGGCTGGTTGAAGTCTATCATAGATTGTTCCGAGATGTCTATCGGAGGAATAGAGGACTTTAAGAGTCTTGGGCATGCCGTGAGTAAAGACCGAGTAGAGGATGAGCAGCAGTGGGGAGCCCTGGGGGACGTCAGCGAGGATAGGGCGGGGCGAGAAGAGCGTTCCTTCATCGCAATAGCGAAACGAATCGTTATTCGACACCAAAGTCCCGTATAATGAGCACGAGTCTGTTCGGCACCCCGAGTTTATATAGCTTATAAATTAAGCCATTATGCCAGAGTTTGTCAAATGCTTTCGCCACGTCGAAAAAAAGCGCACCTGTGGGAGTCGCGGAGGCTCGAAATAGATTGCGTTGGTGGAGGATGTGCTCCGTTAGGCGGTGCACCTGGTGGACACATTGAAAGTGAATCCGATAATACGTGCTTTATAAAAGCACGGGGGTTAATAGGCCGCAACTCATTTCTATTTTCAAACTCTTCCACTTACTCCCCCTTACCTCCTTAAAGAATGGTGTGGTCCGCGGTCGACTTCTTTAAATTGTAAGTCCCACCATTCGCCCAGAACTGGCTACGTTAACAGACAAGGCAGCACCTTGTTATTTAATTCTTCACCTCTGGAGGTGAAACCCTGGGGTTTGAAAAATGATAAATTCTCTTTTTACAGCTTCTGGTAAAAAGATCGTGAAAGGAACCGGAGTGATCATCCACATATGGGGAACACACAGAAACCCGAAGTACTGGGGTCCCGACGTGGATGTCTTCAGACCTGAGAGATTTTTAGATCTCCAACTAGCTCATCCTGCAGCCTACATGCCGTTCAGCCACGGGCCTAGGAATTGTCTTGGTAAGCAAGATATTATCATATATTTTCATCGTCGTCACTAACCCTGAAATGTGTTCTATGTGCTCTGTTTTCCTGCAGCATGAATGGGAACACCATAGTAAAATGACGATTTCTTCACCTCCACGCTCTGGTTTAATATAAATCAATAATGGACTTACAAAATGTAAATTATTCACTTGGCACATATTTATATACCTTTGGAATATACTCCTAGTGTACTCGATCGCGTTTTTGTAAAAGTTTATTTTGAACTTTATGGCATCTTTTAAAACTTTGATGGAATTTATTTTACTTTACTTGACAAATGTTTTTCAAGTTGAAAGAACAACAAGTACACTAGACAGATGCTCAGAGAGCTTACATTTCGTTCTTACATTGTCAATAGTCAGTCAAAGTGGCATGTAAACTGAAACTAAAAACTTTTTCTCTAAGAAATTGGATTCTCCCTATCATTTAATCCTGAGGCGTAAAGTAGCAATATGCAGGTCGGCAAGGTGGTGTGGCAGGTAGAACTGCTATACCAGCTATCCTCGCATCTGGACTCCATCGTCACATACCATCAGATGAGGTGGAGTCATCTGTCAGACCTATTAATAAAAAAAAACGACGGGTTGCACTCCGGGAGTGCCGGCAGAAGTGAAAACTTAAATATTAACGTTGTGCATTTTTGATGTTTTGGAATGGTTAACTAGGGAATAATTTTGCACGAATTTCTTTAATTATCAGTATAAAAGTCCTATCATTTATGTGGTAGAATACAATATTTATTTATTGCGCTATCGTACACAAACATGACAATTTATATTACTTTAAAAAGTTTATCTCTCAGAATTTCTCATTTAAGCGCACCTAGCGACATCTTTTGTAAAAAAATGCATTTTCTTTGCAATAAAACTGCCACCTGGACGTCCTAGACACAGACTTATTATTATAATACGATAAAATAAAATATTACTATGTTTCGTCCAATATATTGAAAGTCTATTGACTTTCTTTTCAATTTTATTGTTTTCGTCTTACGATCAGGACACGTGGCCTGTGATGCGATCAGCCCACGTGTCATGACGCGAGTTTAACATATTTTACCCATACAAAAAAAAGAGGTTTTTATTTCAAAAATAAGACTTCAAATTAAAAAGGAAAATATTCTCAATTCTAACAATTTTTAATCCAAAATATTTCTCTTAAAGGTTACCAATACGCCACTATGTCCATGAAGACGGCAATCGCGACATTGGTCAGGAGGTATAAAGTCGTACCGGCGGAGCACATCGTCCAAGACGGCGAGAAACCTCTCAGGGTCAAGTTCGACATCATGATGAAACACGTAGACAAGTTCCAAATACAACTAGTCCGTAGAAAATGAATAAATTTTGAAAATACGGATCAAAAGGCGTTCATTAGACGGTAGGTTTTGCTATCAAGTTGCTGGCAGTCAAGGTTATGACTGATGAACCTGTTGTCTAATAGGGTTATTGATGGTGACTGATGGTTTTTCATCATTCATGACTGATGGCTGCATGAGCGTCTAATGGATGCCTCAGGGTTTGTACTAGGTAAAAAGCTTAGCAATTTCAACAGCTACCAAATTAAATTTGTTTTATAATAACCTCATCACAATACATGTTGGTAACGGGTCTTCTGTGTTTAAGATCATAAGGTTTAGTAAAAAACAATGATTTATTGCTAGATTACAGCATTTATAGTGGCATTATAAAAGACACATTTTTTTAGTAGTCGAATAGCAATCACGCTGGTGGATTTCTTACGGCTTGAAATGAATTTAATTATTTTTAGGATATTCTCAAACTACGATTGTTAAAGAGAGATAATCAATTTGACGTTGCATTTACATGATATGCTAATGACCGCATAAATTTTATTGAAAGTCTGTACTGACATTCAAATTTAGATAAAAAGAGGATTCTTAAAATTATTTTTTAAAATTAAAATCAATAATATTTGAAAATTTTAGTAAATGAACTGAATGTTTATTGATTAAAAATATTTTATTTAATGGAAGGAGAACTATTAATATTTGTGAAATACTTGGTTTTGTTTTAAAAGCTTCGTATTGACTTTGTGATAATTTATAGGTTTAAATATATTTAATTTAATTTTACAATTCTATACATATTTTATTATTTAAGAGAAATGAGATTTACTATTAAGTTATAAGGGGACTGGGGCCATTTTTATTTATTTATTTTTATAATATGATTTTAATTGATGCGCACTGGTAAATAATTACAGTTTTACCTGGATTTTTTCAATCATTCTTTTTCTTCTCTGTACAATGCAATTTATCATTGTAGATATTTTTTTATATATCTAGATACCTTCATTGTGGATATTTTCAGCACGATGGATCTTCATTGTGAATACTTTCAAGATTGTGAATTAATTTTGTGTGTATGTGATTTTTTCTTTACTTTAATAGCAAACTTGCATAGACACCTACATAAGACTGGAAGTAACGTTTTATTCAGATATTGCCTCAAAACTTAGTATGGGTGTCGTAGATCTATGTGGATACTTAAGGTAGGTCATTGCGTCAATCAACCTGTTATACCTATAAAGACCATTTTTTGTCTTGACAGTTCAGTACCCCAAGTACGAACTGTGATGGATGAGCCATCGTCAAAGTTCCTATGGAAATTGAGCAACGCCGCTACCAGAAGTAAGAACAAACTAACTCCTTCTATAGAAACCTTGACGATGGCGATACGAATGCTTTCGCGATAGTTCTGTTGTCAGTGCTTGAGATACAGGTTGAATGTTTGACTTATATGTCAATAAAGTCAAGTTTTGGAACTCCAACTGGTTTCAATTGTAAAAACTATTTTTTTTTGTAATATGCCACATAGTATTATAATTTGTTAAATTACTATTTTGTACTATGCCACATAGAATAAAAATAAGTCAAATGATCAGCTTATATTCCTACTATTTAATACACTTTATCGTGAACGCCTTGAGAAAATTTTACCGCAATGTTTCAAAAATAATTGTTTGTCTAGATCTTTTGCAAATGTGTAGATCAATTGTTTGTACCATGCATGTAAAATATGTAAGTAATGTTAGCTATCTAGACAATATAAATAAATTGGTACTGTTTCTTGATATGTGTTTTCTTATTACGGGTTTCATCGTAAAGGGTAAAGCCGTCAAAATTGATCTTCCGCTGTACCATCAAGGAAACAGCCAGATAGAAATAAAAAAAATACATAAATTTAAAAATCAAAAAACCCGACTGCTATAATATTACTTCAAATAAAAACTGAAAATAAAATAAAACAAGTCCAGTAGGTAGTCTATAATTCTGCAAAGTAAGGAACACAGCTACTTCAACAGTCGGGACCCATTATTGATTTTTTTTATCTATTCTTGAATATCTAATGGGTCCCGACTGTTAAAGCAGCTTTGTTCCTTACTTAACAGAATTTATAGACTACTGGGCTTGTTTTTTTATTTTCAGATTTTATTTGAAGTAATATTATAGTAGTCGGGTTTTATGATTTTTAAATTTATCATTTTTATTTCACACTTTTTAGTTAGGAATCTAAGACGGCATATACCGGAATCAAGGGCATTATTAAGTACCTTGCGGTGGTCTATTACGATTGATTTAGTAAGACATAGAGAACTTAACAGTAGGGTCAAGACTACAGATGGACCTCAATTTTCGCAAAAATGTCTGAAGTTAAATTAAGTTGTTATCTATATATTTAATGAATGTAAATTTTATAGTCTACTATTACTGATTCAAAAAGTCATCTTTTGCTTAAGTTCTTTTTAATAGTTTAGAAGTAAATTTAAATTCATTTACTTTTATTCGTCGACTATCTAAAATCGGCAATAGCTGCATTGTTATGTCAAAGTCAGGCTCTAAGATTATGATATACACAAATACAGTGTCATATCCTAGTCTCATAATTTGATATACCTACATAATTCACAGAAACCAAATATGTAGACGCCAGAGGTTAAGTTCAAATGTTATTGATCACCCTGTATACAAAACCAATAAATGACGTTAATGTCGCAGGTTTACGACAGCAATAATTCCCGTCTGTTGTTATGGACACTGGTGGCAACTGCCTTAAATCGCTAAATTAAATAATTATGCAATCACCAAAGCAAAGTTTATAATATTTGTTTAAACTAAAAGTGCAGAATATAATTTTCATAGAGTTAGTAATGTATAGATTTACATCTATGTCGTTCTCTTTTAAAGCGTTCACCAGTTACAGTAATGTAAAGCTTACCATAGTGTAAAGCTCGAATGAAGAGTACTTCCACCTATTAATCGGGCCGCTACCAGCCTAGTAGGTATTACAAATGGTGCAATCATAACAATTATTTACCAAATATTTTTTTTGTACCTGTAGACAAAATAAAAATAAGTAGGGTCAGTTCGCCTGTTCGCGTCCATTTAGTGCAGTTGGAAAGTTTGACGGCGATAATAAAAATATCCCAGCACTAATTTCTATGAAAAATTTATGTAGTCTATTTTAAGATTAACTTTCAGTTTTGTTTGAAACATCTATTGTTTTTTATTTAAATAGATAAACTTCGTAATAAGGCGTTTTACCCACTTTGCGTCCAAAAAATCCATTTTGCGTCCACCCGTGGACCATTTAGCGTCCACCACCTTAGAAAAGGAATATAGGAGTGATATTTTTATGAATTTGTATAGAAAGATTGTACATTTTTTAACAATTTCTTTATTATAGAATATAAATATTAAAACCAACATTATTATCATTAAAATTATCACTTTGAAAAAATAAAAAATATTCTTCTCAATATTGATTGAATTTAAAATTATATAATTAGTAGGTAAATAATGATTAATTTTTAAAAATAAACAGTAATCAGTTCTGTTAATTTTACCCTAAAATCACAAGGTATGTTTTTCTCATCGTCGTCTTCTACATCTGAAATTAGTATATCGTTACATTCAGAAAATTTTCTTTCTTAAATTCCTGATTTACCATTTCCTGTGTGACTTCTTGAAGGGCATGAATCTTCTTCTTTCGTTTTGGAGCAGTTTTACGAACCGTTTGAGAGTGTTTTAAACTCTGTTCTTGTTTCTCTATTCGTTCTAACTTTCTTTTTCGTATTGCTTCCTTGTTGTCGTTCTTGGTCTGCTCTTTATCTTCTTAATACTTACTCCATGCAGCAGAAGATATGGTTGCTAGAGTTTATTGATTATCTTTTCGTGCTTTGTTAGAAATTTCGGTTAGCATCAGGTGGTGTCTGGTCCCGGTTTCTTTACTTCATTTGGTCTGCGCCCACTGATTTTGTACAATATGTCTATGTGTCTTACCGATTTACTCTTTTCTTGAATTTCATTTAACGCTTTCTTTAAATCGTCTGTGTATATTCTCTTTTCCTTAAACTAAAAAAACTTTAAACAAATAAAGTATTTGATTGATTGATTGAAATTACTCATTTCATTTAAAAATAACATTAAAAACACGTAGTCTTAGTAAAAATGTATAATAATAATAATCAATACCTATATTTTAAATTATAATTAATTAATTGTATTTAACGAAAATAGTGGACGCAATTTGGTTTATTATTATCCTCTGTAGGTATAGTTTGCGTCCATTGCGGACGCAAATTGGGAGTTTTGTAATTTCGATGTAGTAATTCGTGTCCACCTTATTTTATTCATTAAATATAAAAAAACATAAGAAAATTTATAATTAATATCATTCCTTTCTTCACTATAAAAGTCTAGAAACAGCTACGTATCCTAAAATTAACATAAAAATATAAAAAACTTACCATCGAACGCGCCGCTGCACACTATTTTTTATCTAAACATCTCGCGTGTACGCACTCCCTTGATGATAACCGAGACTAAATATTTTTTTTAAACGGGATTGTTTGGCGCACCTACCTTTTGACCATGTGTTCGTGCCTCTTATATATTAAGGTATTAGCGGTTATTACTTTTCGTTTGATTGGAGTGTTAGTTTACTTATTTTTGAGGATTTTTTAAGGAAGATCCGTAAAATGGACGCGAATGAATTGGGCGATGGACGCGAACAGGCGAACTGACCCTATATATAAATTACCAAATACCGAATCCCTGTTTACCAAAAATGCTAAGTGTACAGTTTGTACACCTCTAATGAGAATCACAGTAGACCTGCGATAATCCGGGCCCCCTCTAATCCGATGCTCCCTGTAATCCGACACGCTTAGCACTGTTGATTTGCACACAAAATAAACAGAAAGAGATTTTTTAGATTTATAATTTGTCGGTGTACAAGGTACTCATAAACAAAAAATTCTGGACTACAGAGGGTGGTCTTAGACAGTACTCTGTAATCCACCAAATTCGATAAT